GAAGAATTGTAGGAAATCGCTCGATAACACTTCTTTCTATTTCTTTCTCAATGATATCCGACGATCAAAACATAATATTTTTTTCGTCTAAATGCTAAAATGGATTTCTTTTTCTTTTTCAAAAACTCCGTTTTTCTCATTTTTCTGAGCATGTTTTTGAAAAATTCACTTCATTGAGTTAGTTTCATAAAAAAAAAATCAATTTCTAAATTTGTTAACGTATCGAACGTCCACACCTAAGTCCAATTATGAAAAAATGAGTAACCCTAATTTCACCCTTATCCTTTTGTTTAATATGTCTCGTCATAGGTGGGAATTAAGGCATCGCACAATTAAAAATGCCATTTATAACTTTTATTATATGCTTTTCACTTGGTACACAAATGGTATTGGACATTATAGTGACCCTTTTAAGTATAAAAAAAAAAATAAAAAAATTCAAGGTGTCAATTTCATGGATGACAAATAATCAATGCATAGTATATAGCACAGGATAAAATTCTAAATATTTTTATTATATTCACCCCACATATTCGACAAGAAATTATTCTTGCTATGCTGTCATTTTTTTATGTTTTTTTTTTCCAACATATTTACTACAACTTGATTTGTGCATTTTGATCAAAGAAAAGTCACCTTTATTATCTATGGAATTCTTTTCTAATTTAGGGTTCGAGTTTTGGAAAAAATACTTTTACGGTCCATCTTAAACGAGTTGCTACTTGTAGCTCGATATATGTCCATCTTGAGCCATGACTTTTATTGTCGATAAATAGAGTAGTTTCTTTTACCTATGATCAGAAGTTTTGAGTTTAAATCTTGAGAAATGAGAAATTCCTTCTAAAAGAACTTAATCGACGTGAATTGAAATTAATTGAGTGATTTTAAATACCATTATATGCACACATGTTCTACTACTAGTCGAAATAATATATAGTTGGAAATACATATAAACTTCTCCTTATATCAATTGCAATTTATTTTTTAAAATTAATAAATTTCAAATTACGTAGATGTCATTTCACTCAACGCGATCACGTACAAAGATAACTTTGCAAGGATGGCTACCAATATAGGGACTAGAGAGTGATGTGAAGGTGTCCAAATGGAGAAGAATCACTCTCAAATCTCATGATTTAAAAAAGAATAATTAAATCGTACAACTGTTCATTAAAATAAAATTGATATATATATATATATTCCGGAAGTTTCAACCTTGTTGACTGTGACAACAATCGCGATTATAAACAAACTTGTGACTATGGCAGGGCGATCACTATGCTTTCTCGCGATCCCTACTCTAATTAAATATATATATATATATATATTTTGTATATTAATTTTATCGATATTATTATTTCAGATACTCGACCAAATATGTAACTTTCTATTTTAGAAAAGACACATAATGGGGGATTTACGGTGACATATTGTATCCTTTAGCTTAGTGGGTTTATGTATGCAAATTTTCGTGTAAATAGTACTACTATTAAAAGTTCTATAATTTTATTTTTTTATATTCAATTATTACATACTTTTTTTTAAAAAAAAACCACCCCCAACCCCCACAACTATATATTAGTTTTCTATAGTTTTTTTATTGTATGCATAAAGAAGCTCAATTTATTTAAATAGCACGAAAAGTTATAAAAATCTCACGTTAAAAATAAAATATTTAATATTTTTAATTAGACGTGATTCTAATTTGCATGTAGTATTTTCTTTTAATCTCAATTATTATAATAATAAAGGACGTGAATAAAAAGATAAAAAGAAAAAAAAATCTCTCATGACATATTCAAGTATCTTCTTTTATATATATATATATATGCACTTTTTTATTATTGTTGAACATATAATTCAATAAATTATATATCTTAATTGTATATAAAATCTCATGATTGTTATTATCACTCATCAATAAAAAAAATCAAATATTTAACCTTAAACGATAGAGCTAAACCTACACGTACAGTAAGGAACATGTTTAAAAATCACATGTATGTGTGCGTGTTTGCTCTAATAATTTGAATTTTTAGATGAGATATTAATACTAATTACACACTTGTACTTTCTATATATCCTATCAGACTTTTCCATCGATCTAATAATGGCCTTCACTTTTTAAGAAGTCTTTATTTGAATTACGATGATATTTACACAAAAACAGAGTTAAGATTTGAAGTTAATGATTTTTTTCATAATTTTGAGTTAAAATGCAATAGTAATGATGTTTGGAGTAAAAAAAATATAGATATTTAGTGAATACTTGAACAAAGACTATTAGACTAAAAAAAATACATTTAAGGAGATATGAGGGGGGGGAAATCAAGAACCTTATTCCAATTTCCAAATATCAAGAATATTACTAGAAAAATCCAAAGCATATCACTTGGTCCTCTTAGCCAAAACTTCTTTTTAATCCATAAAAGTTTGATGGTTTTATACACATTTTCAATCATAAAACCACTTAACATTTTGATTAACAACAATAATATATACACCTTAATTTAAGTAAGTTGGATTAACGATATGAATTTTCATTATTTTATTTTAGCTCAGATCGTATCATCATCACACTTTTGCCAAAAAAAGAAATGTATACTACTAGTGCCAACCCTAATAAGTCTATTCCTTTTAGGGGTGGGCATTCGGTAATTCGGTTTGGTTTTCATTTTTTTTTCGATTTTTTCGGTTTTCGGTTCTTGTACAATATGTACCGAACACCGAATCGAAATAATTCGGTTCGGTTTTTATTATTTCGGTTCGATTTTGTTATTTCAATTTTTTTTTATGGGCCTGCTTAGTTGGGTTTTTAAAAATTTACAAATTTTTTTGTTTGTTTCAACTTAATGGGCTAAAAATAGTTATATCAAAAAGTGTCTTTTACTTTTTAATTTTTTATTTTAAATTATAATATTTATTATTTAACATTAATAATTAATATAATATAAATATATATTATAATATAATATATTTCGGTAAACCAAAATACCGAATAACACAAAATTACATACCGAAATCAAACCGAAATATCGAAAAATACAAAAACATATATCAAATACCGAACCGAAAATACCAAAAAAAAATTCGGTTCGATACGGTATTTCGATTTTCCGGTGTTTATGCCCAGTCCTACTTCCTTTATTAGGTTTGGGACAAAAATGTAATCAAGCTTACAAAAGCAAAAATTTTACAGTTTGATTAAATAATACCGAATTCCTATCAAAACATCGTTGATGATATGAGATTTTTGTTGAGTACATATACACGCGTTTCTAGAAGTTTGAATAGACTTTAATTAACAAGCTTATGAGAAATATACCGTCATTTCAAAACGATCTTTTTCTACCTAGCTGTATTCATATATTAAAAAGAGTGGATCAAACTACACCAAAACAAGATTGGAACAAAAGGTTCATTCAAGTTGAGGATAGAAGTAACTTTAGTTTCAAATCCTATCATATACACAATGTGGTCCTTATTCCAAAGAAATAAAAATGAACATTTGATGAAAGTAATTGAAAATGTAATGACATCAACAAATATTAGATTCCATAAATTTGCCAATAAGAAGCTTTGCAAATGGTACAAAAGACTGTTCCTACAATGTTTGTTTTGATTGTTATTTAAAATATATTGTATTGTATTATTAAATTTCGTTGTTATATAACAATGGAAACCCTTGTTTTATGGAACAACCAATTTGGTGTGTTCCCGTTGTTACTTAATTTCTTTACTCAATTATATCTTTATATAATATTTCAAAATACTATTTTACCCTTTATCTTAATTATTTAAATCTAGTCAAACCTCCTACCCTAGAATAATTAAGGATATTTAAGTAAATTTATAAATTACAATACAGTACGATACAATCAAACCAAACAATTAAAATGTTACTATACAATAATAAACAATACAATCTAACCAAACATTGTATCTACCATTTAATACAGTACAATACATTATGAAACAATGGATAACAATGATCTAAACAAAGTGTTAATATCCAATCTTTTTTCTAATAAAAAGAATAATTTTATTCTTAGAACTCAAATTCAAAATATATAATTAATAATAGAAGAATGCTTATCAATTACCACCAACTCACTGTTACTATTGGTAGTAGGATAAAAAGGACATGACACAAATTGTCAAGGTTAGATTTTTTTTTCCTTCTTCGACTAATTATGATTCATATCGAAAAGTTCAATTTAGAGCTAAAGCATGTTTTTATACTAACAAAATCTTTTATTTTTCATAAAACGTTATACTTACCATAACACCATAATCACTAATGGTATTATGGTTAAGTTTTAAAATGCGTCATAGTTTAAAGCAAAAATGTGTATATATATACCTTGCTATAAGTGGTGTCGTAAGACACTACTTTCTCTCTCTATATATATACATATATTATAACCAAATATAAATATTGAATATCAATATAAAAAGAATGATACCAATAGTTATTATAGTGATACCTATGTACTTAAAATTATTGCAATGAATAAAGTATTCACTTCTTTTTATAATACATCTAAACTCGATAGTAGAATTCATATAGAAATATTCAATCAAATAATTAAAAAAATTAAAATTCATATATATATATATATATAATACAATGAATGTACCTTTTCTACGTTAATTTAGGTTATATAAAATATAGAACTGAAAAAAATTGGGCAATCCTTTGACATATTAACATTTTGATCTTTCTATTCAGTCTCATTTAGTATTTTTTTTCTTCAAAATTTTCATGAAATAATTTCATACGAGTTACAGATAATGAGGTCGGTCCATGAATTTTCCTTCCCTTTTTTTTTGTCTACTTATCTTGCTCTACTCCATTTATATTTTTCTTAAACAAAATATTATTCATTGTTTAGAGGAGGGGGTGGGAGGGGGGGGGGAGGGGCTTTACACAAAGATTCCAAAAGGTTTTTTAAAGCTCTTATATATACTCTTTTGACACCCTCATTGTAATTGCCATCTAAGTATCAATCCAAACAAAAAATAACACTTAATACAAATTCCATCAAATCTCTTCCATATATTTCCATTAATTTGATTTTCCTCTCTTAGCTTGCAACTTTGTCCACTTTGGGATATTGTGGTTTTTGCATAAGGTAACATTTAATTTCATTTCTTGAAAATTTACCAAGGAATTAGTAAACATAATTTATAATAAAAAGTTGATTTTTTTTTTTGTAAGTTTATTGTATTTGTGGCTGATTTTTCTTCTTCTTATTTTGTAGAGGGAAAACCAATATTTTGCATTTGATATTCATCAAGATGTCAACACATTGTGTAAGCATTATCAAGAATTTCAACTTGTCTTCAAAGATGAAAGAAGAAGATTATGATCATGAGCAAGTGATCAAAGATCAACCAATTAAAATATTTGATTGGAGTTCAATTTTATCTTCTTCAAAGAATGAAGAGTCATCTTCAACTAGTCTTTATGTTCATCCTCTGGACAAAAGCTCGAGAAATTCGTTGAGTGAAAAAAGTCTTGAAATTTGTACTGAGAGCCTTGGATCAGAGACTGGATCTGGCTCTGATTGTTTTCTCTCTTCACCTACATCTGAGCACGAAGATTCGAATGATGACAAACACGATCATCATCATTATTACCATCAACAACAATATTCTGTTGTCTCAGAGTCCTTTGAGGATTTTCATGTTTATAATCATAGCAAGAGATTGATATCTTCTTCAAAGTCTTTTCCTCCTTCTCTTCCTTCTATTCACATGCAATCACATAGACAAAATGGTAGATTGATTCTTGAAGCGGCTTCCATTTCACCTAACAATAGTCTCCATGCTCAACGCCTTGACGGTCACCTTCTTCTCACCGTCATCAATCAAAATAATTATGAACATGAAATAGAGAAACGCGAGGATGAAGTTGAAGAGTTTGAGAAAGTGTTCGATGATATTCAAGAAGTTGAAGGTAAAGAAATACCCCACTCAGACAGTGGTGGTGGTGATGAAGAAGAGTTTGAGAAAGTGTTCGATGATATCCATGTTTCCTTTTGAGATGTTTCTATGACAGGTAATCTTAGATACGCGTTTCGATAGTAATTAATTGAAGTTCAGAAAAAAATATTATTATCTAGTTTCAATAAAATAAAAAAATCTTTAAAATACATACAATAATCAAATGATTTCTAATTTCATGTTCAATTCTTTATTTAATCTTCAACAACTAATTGTTGTTTAAATAAATTTTTATTTACTTTGATGTTTGTAATTAGACATATTTCAAAAATTATATGCCAAATTTGATAATGTCACAAGTATTTATACTTGTTCCAGCCAATAATTATTGGAACCATATGCTCTTTATACAAAAAAAAAGAAAAGAAAAAGAAAAAGAAATTCTATATATGGTCATATTTGTTTCATTATGATTCTTTGTTAATGGAAAAAAATATATATCATTTTCATATACTTGATCACACTTACAATATGTATTGTATTCACATATATTAAATGATGATGATTGAAGGTTTCTTTTTTTTTCTTTTTCAAAAGTAAATAGAGATAACGAAATTCGCCAAAAGAAAAAAATATATCTTGAGAACTTCAATTACAAGTCGGTGATATTATGATTTTTACGAGAAAAAAAATATTATATTTATATATTCTTAAGATAATTTAATTTTAAAAATTTTAATTTATTTTTTAATCAGATGATTTATAATTGCAACTATATCTAAGACGTCTTTTTTATAACGCTCATTATTTTTGGAAAAAAAATTATATCTAATCAAATAAATCTTACAAATTTAGACAAAAATAGATATATTTTACAAAAGTCATTTAATATTCAATATACTTGCTTCAAATTAATAATCCCTTTATTGTCAAATAAATCCAATAAGCATTTACACTTGAATTAAGAGATACAAACTATTATTATAAATGAAAGTTGAAAAATGACATTGCAAAGTTAAAATTATGTTTAAACATGTATTCTATTTTTTAAAAAGATCAAAATGGTAATTGGTAAAAGAAAATTAGTAAAAAAAGAATTATCTCAAAACTAACCAAAAGATTAATTAATATACAAGTAAATAGGGACAGAAGAATTTTTTTTTTGTCTTAGTCTCTATTACGTTGTATCTCATTATATCACATTCTATTAATATAATTTAAAAACAAATCACCATGTTGATTCTGTCGAGAGGTCATACTGACCACAAATAGATAGATTAATGACGAGTTCTTGCCAGACTAAGAGCTTTATCAAATAAATCGCTTTTCACGACATTTTTTTTTCATTTCTATAGAAACATATAAATTACAGTCTAATAAGTTTTGAATTTTGTAATGATTGTGGATTAAGACTACTAAACAGGTTGAAGTAAAAAGTCCTGAAGTAAGCATCGTCAAAAAGCATAGAAAGATGAAATGTCGATGATATATAAATATCGAATGAATAATATTATTTTTATTATGCTATTAATACTTGCTCTCGAAAAAATTAAAAAAAAAAATAAGGGGGAATTAATTGTCTTAGATTAAGAGATGTACTATCACTAAAGCCAAAGGTACCATTGATATGCACTTATCGGTATCTTTCAAACCCTTTCCCCCCTACACTTTAGTGGCACCAGAATTATCGACAAAATTCTGTAAGGAAGAAAAAAATGAGACGTCCCGGCGGCGGACATTCCGGCGGTGGGCATTACGGTGGTGCTGATGCCGGCGCCGATGCTACGTATAACTCCGGCCATCAAACGATGCAACATCAACATCAACAGCAACAACAGCAGCAGATCAAGTCGGAACATCATCAACAATGGAGATGGGAACGAGAGAGCCCGAAATTACCTACAAATTCTATGTCTCCGAACATGTATCCTGAAGGTAATTTGTTGGATTTTCTAGTGTTTTTTGCTTATTTTTACTTGCTGTTTTGTAGATAAATTTATTAAAAGTTTCATTTTTTTAGATACCCTTTACTGATTTCCCCTGAAAACTAGGTTTTCTGTTTAGTTTCCTTTTGGTTGTGCTTGCTTACATTGCCGGTGCCAAGTCCGGATAATAGTTAGTTACTAAGATCTGATTATGAGTTATTGAATGGTAAGATGAATAAAGTGTGTTTGCTTGTGTGTTTAAAAAAAGATGAATAAAAATTTTGAATTGAAGAATGAAGGTTGTGATAGGCTGATAGCTAGCGTAAACTTGCGAATTTATGATGAATCCAACACGTTGGGGATTGAGGATTAGCTATAGTAGTAGTAGTTATTGGTTTAGTAGTATTAGTTTCTGATTCTTTGCTAGGCAATATTTTGTTTTGGAAATAATCCTTGCAATAATCATAACCACAAAAACTACTTTTTTGTTCCATAACTGTGGTTCAGGGCTAACTTGTGCACATCCCCATTAATTCCATGTGGTACCTACTATTTCTAATCAACAGAAATATATTGTAACTCTGTCCACCAAGGCTCGTATAAATGGGAAGAAATCAGTAGTGTTTTTGCCTCCTTTGGACTTTGAAGAACCTCAAAGGTCATGATTTTCAATCTTCTTTATTGTGGAAATCTTGCTTCCTCTTGGCAAAAGATCCACAAAACTGGGGCACCTATTTGAGATTAAGGTTTAGTTATTCTAATAACACTTGTATTAAGGTCGGTAATCTTTAGGAGCTTTTTTAAATTTGGTTAAAGACTTTTGTGCTAGTTTGCAGATGAGTGTGAGATTTTGGAAACATTTTGTTTTAAAGGTCCAAATTTGCCTTAAAAAGACTAGTTTTTGATGTTGTAACTGTAGCAGTGTACTTGTGGATCCATATAAGAATTTGTATGGGACTGCACCCGTTACTTCTGGCAGCTCAACTCTAATAAAGCTTATGCAATGACCACTCTAGGCAGACATTTCAGATGCTTCAACTACAAGCCAATAACATGAATATAAGAGTTCAACATTTGTCAGACGTACCTTTTTTTCAGTTGCATCAAGCATATTAATTCATACAGTTGCAACAAAATATATAGGGTCTAATTTATAGAGGAACACTAAGAAAATAAGAACCTTTAAATAAAGGAATATGTAACTTCAACTAGAAAATGAAGATCACTTTAAACTATCTGATAATTTTTCAGTTGCAACAAGCATTTTAATTCATACAGTTGCAAAAAAATACATAGGGTCTAATTTATAAAGGGACACTAAGACAATAAGAACCTTTAAAATAAAGGAATATGTAACTTCAACTAGAAAATGAAGATCACTTCAAACTATCTGATAATTTTTTTCTTTTAAAATAATGGTGGTGTCGGGGCCATTTTGCGCAATTCGACTATTCAGTTGGGTACCTGCTACCTCTAATCAACGGTACCGGAGTAACTTTGTCCACAAAGTCTTAAGCAGATGGGAAGAAATCAACTAGTGCCTATTATCTCTACTGAGATTTAAATCTGTTTCTAAGGTTTGCAGACACTTTGACCACTAGGCGGTACCCTTGGGTGCTAGTTGAATCTTTATCTCCTAGGAAATTAGATTAGACAAAAATCTAATTTAAAGCATGACGTCAAAGTGTTTCAGAGTATTGCTGCTATTCATAAAACGGGTTTACTTCTTTCTTACCTTCCTATTTTGTTAATAATGCTGACTTATGAATGGTAGAAAGTGTCTGGAAGTATTGAATTTGCTCATTCTGATTAAAGGCAATATACTGTCCTAGTGATACATAGGTAGTTTTTATTAGGCGGTATCAGCATTTTTTTATTTTTGGAAAGTAGTGCTTGTCTTTCTATGTTTCAATTCATTCAACAGTGCCTTTCCTATAGGCCAGGGGAGTGAAGCATCTAGATCCTACTACCAGGGCCAGAGGACTGATCCAAGGTTGGCATTAGAGAATCAAGGTGGCAAGAATCCTAGAGCACTGCCTCGTGAAGAAGGCATGGATATTGGTTATGAAGATAAGCCTGTACAGCAGACTTTGGAAGGTCTTGAAAAAAAATTCCTTGATGATATAATGAAACTGACCAAGGAGCAAAATGATGCAGAGGATGCTGAAAATTCTAGGCATAGGGAGGTTAGTTCAGCTTACTTAAGTGCTTTAATAACATAGTGGATTCTTCATTCATGTCAAGTTCTAAAGCTTTTCATTTAAAAGGGTAATGCCACACTATGCATTATCTACATCTTTTTTAGGATATACTAGTGCTTACATACATGGAGAGACCCCCTTCCCTTCCAAGTTCTTCTGCCCAACCTTTGATTTCTAAAAATATCCATAGCTGTCAAGCCCGTGCAATTGCATGATTCCAACTGAGAGACACAAATATTCCCTTAAAATCTTCATATTTATCAATACAGAGCATTCTTGCAATTCCTCACAACTTATCTTCTCTTCAAGTTTCTTGGAACAGAAAATCAATACCTTACCTTAATATTTTGTCCAACCATCTTTAGATTAATGAGCAGTATCTTCTATAGTAAAACAGATCAAAGTATGACGTAAAAATATATCAGATCAAAGCCTAGTAAACCTGTTAAAGTGCCATATCCAAGGGCCTGTAGCCAAAAATACTTTGGAAACTGTGCTTGTATGTGCCTGGTAAGGCTTTACTCCTTACCTCATATTATATTTGATTCAGTTTGCTTGGTTGTGGAGTTTGGATGCTTAGTTCACTTGGATAATCTTATTATTGGTCAATTAGTTGTACATCAAGCTTGGAGCTTGCATGAAGTTTGTGACAGAGTTGACAATACATCACAACTCCTCCATCAAAATATACCGTAACTTCTAGTCGTGTTTGCTTAATGATCTCATCATCTCAGTCATTGTGATTCATATGATTTGTATATTATGTGTAGTATCAAATATTTTATCTATCACTGGGCAAACAGTTCAGAGCAAGGAAAGGCTGGTGTTAGCAGCTGCATTCAAAACACGGCATTAGGGCTGTTTGATGTTGCTATTACTCATAAAGACAGATTGTTAATGGCAATGGTTAGAACATCTTCAGATGAGTAAACAATAAAATGTTTTACCTGTAGATGAGTGAACGTTTCCTATGGACATCGTTACTGGAGTTGTCTTCCCTCAATGATTTTGAGCAATGTCTCTGTGCCCTCTTCCAATATTTTGATCAACTTTATTAAGCTGAATTGACTTGATAGGAGACTTGTTGTAGCTACAAACTTTTGGAGGTGGCCAGCATGCCCTCAATGCCGAAGAATACAATCTTACCTGTTATAAAAAAATAATATTTGAATATACCAAGTAGTCTGCAATATATGAATAGGATCAAAGGTTAAGCTTGTACTTCCAAGTTTCAGAAAAATTTAGGTAGTTTAGACTGTTTCAGTGTTCCTTTTATAATCTGTTCCCCGTCTTGCTTATATAGTAGGTACTGAAACTTTTATCCATGTTCCTGGGCTGCTTTCTGGTGCCCACCCTGCGTGGGTAGATCAGCAGTGAATATTTATGAGTACAGGAGATTACTGGTTTGACAGAATCGAAATCTGTAACTTTCTTGTTACACAATGTCTGTCTTATCAAGAGAACTTGTATACCCAAAGGCTTATCTTCACATTTTCTACTTCCTAAATATATGTATGTAACTGATGAAGCTTGGGGGACTGGGGAGGTTGAATAAAAAATTTTGTGATAGATTTTGCTGATGTTTTATGCATACTCAGCTATTTTGCTAATTAGCGTGGGACCTTCTTTTCTCTTCATATGTTGTATTAAAATTTTTGAGCCTTTCTTCTCAGTGGAAATGCATAATCCTTATACTTCCTCCCTGTTTATGGTGCAAAATTTTAATGTTTCAGCCAGTATTTCGTACCAGTAAAGATCTAACTTTAAATCAACTTAGGATTAGGACATACGTACTTACTGGTCAAGCTTTAGTATAATTGTGAACCTGATCTAAGTTCTGCCATTCAAAAGCATAAGGTGGAATTAATGTCAAAACTGTTCATTCATAAATACAAATTAAAGTATTTATGCCAAAAATTATCAAGATGCTTAGATCCGAGCTAGTTTACAAGACTAGATACCATTCTCTACTTATATTTAAAGATAAGGGAAAAAATTAACAAGAATTGCTACTATGCATGTCTTGACAGGGATGGTGACTAAAAGTGTAGATAGATTTTTTTCTTGAGTTCATTATGTCTCTTTAAACTTCCTCCATCAGAACTTCTATAGCAGCAACCTAGGATGTATATTGAAGAGCAAGCAGCACCTTACTAGATGGTATGTAACCTCGATGGAGGTTGACTTTCATTCTCTTCAAGTTTGTCAAACAGGATTTAGCTGATATAGAAACATTAAGTTAGAAATACTTAGAAAAGAAGAAAATACACGTGTGTCTTTATCT